TAAACATTACACAACACGGTATAATTAATAAAATAAATAAATAAAAGGGTGATAAGAAGGTCTAGGCAAAGGCTCTTTTGAAGAGATGGGTTTTGAGGCCTTTTTTAAAAGCCTGCACGGTCTGTGGTGCTCTCATTTGTTTGGTTACAACTTCTGTATCATTGCCTCAAATATGACTAAGTTACTGCAGGCCACACATTTCCATAATAAAACATCGCTTATGCAGAATAGTATTATATACCTGCCAAGATGCGATTCCTAATGCTGCGTTCGCACAAGGAACTGCTGCTGCAGGGGGTAGGAAGCTAGAACTTGTGACTGGATCTGGGACTCCAATTCCCAGAATCCTCGGGGGTGTGACGTCAGCGGCACAACGTGGTTGAACGCGGAAGTAGAAACATTTGTTTACATTGCAGGCAGAGGAAATCGAGTTTGTTCACGGGAATATCGTGGAATTAAAGGCTTCAAGCGCTGATTTTACTTCGAGAAGGTAGGACAGGATGGCAGGGAATGCCGGAGTCAGCTTGCTCCTGCCTTTTGTTGTTTAAATACCCGCCGACCGAGAGACAGTGCGACTCTTAGCTGACACACAAGAGAGGGGTTGTTACCGGAGCTGGCGTAGAACTCGGGACTTCCTCTGGCCCAAAGGATATTAAAAGCTACTCCAGATGAGGACGGAAGGGAGTGGGACACCTGAATGTGTGCCGTGCGGGAGCTGTGGGTCGTTCCAGCGGCGTCTGAACCATGCTCTGAGCTAGCCTGTGTTTCGGGAATGAGGCATTTCTTACGGCTTCTTGCGTATGATGATTCGGTTCCAGAGTCGGAGATTGCAATAGACATTTGCAAGGACAGCACCGGCAGGCAAGCAGCAGCAACATGAACGCAGCAATAGCAAGTGAACACAGCAGTGGCGACGTAGAGGTAGCTGCAGCAATAGCGGCATATTAAGGAGACTCTGTTTGGTTGGTTGTAGAGTGGCAAGGGGGCGTTATGTATGAATGCAGCATAAATGCTCGAGTTGACTGCCTGAACTAGCTCGCAGGCTTCGCCCCATTTGTTTGACTGAGGGGTAAAAAGTTTGGCCAACCCGTCAACATCTCAAACGAATGTTCAAAATGATTCAACTCTTAAAGCGCAAGGTGAATCCGAATGAAAAGCAAAGAGGACATTTGTAAAGTCTTGGGAGGCGAAATATAAGGCGTTATTTTTGTGCCTCTATCCTGAGCATGCAATGAAACATTTTGACCACAGAAAAATGTATTTTGCAAGCACATCAATTATATTTTGAAGAGAAATTGAGTCTCAAGCCCTGTCACAAACTCCTGCACACTCTCTCCCTCGCTCAACCCCTCCACCCTGTGAGCTCAAGTTTGCCTTCGGGCTCGCTCAAGTTGGCAAAGAGTTACAAATGTGCCACAAAACCACCCAAATCGCAGAACTCGAGAAGGTCAATTCTGATTGGCTGTTTTGAGATACGGAAAGAGAGGGATTTTAGGTTGCCAACAAGTTTGGCCAGACTAATACATTTTGAATGTTAAATAAATGAAAACCATTCACAGTTAAGAATTATATATGAATTATTAATGCCATAAATGATTGCATACAATTACAGTTTCTTATTTCTCCAGTATGATAGCTGTCACACAGAAGTTAAATCAATGTTTCACTAAGAAGAAATACTTTTAGTGGGTTAAGTACATTCTGCTTCGTTGTCCATTCACTTTCGGTAAAAGTTCCTTCAAAATAAGAGTCCCGATCTTATTACTACCAAAATAAAAGTGCAAAACGAAAGCTTTACCATAGGAAAATATTGGCATACAAATATAATCACTTCTATAAAAAGGTAACACATTTGAAATATATTTAGACATATAAAGGTAATTTACAGCATTAATAATTAATATCTAATTCTTAACTGTGAATGGTTTTTATTTAACATTATAAATGTATTAGTGGCCAATCCAAGACTTCATGCTGAAGGGCCAATGGATCTATGGTGGGGGTCAGCACAAAGGTCAAGACATTTGAAAGGGAGACAACGGATGACCAAGAAACTAGTGACTTGCTCAATTCATTTGTGGATCTGTGAAGAACATGACAACAGCTGCACTACTGGTGTTTAGTATAGATGAGAGTAACAAATGCGTCACTTCCGGGCAAAAATAGCGTCTCCGCCCACTTTTGGGGGAAAACAACGCTGTCAGTTGAACGGCGGTCAATACAAATTCTAAAGTTTTTGCCAATCCGATCAGAAATTTAAGAAAACCGGAGATTTTTGGATCTTCAAAGAGCCCGATTACAATGGCCAGACAGGCAAACAATTGCATTAAGCCATTAGAAATCGACGATCGGGCTCGATATATGGTTAAATATGGCAGTAGGCTATCGATTTTCATAGATGAGAGTAACATCGACGTCACTTTACGACCCCGCCCACTTTTGGGGGAAACAACGCTGTCATTTGAACGACGATCGAGCCTGAAGCCACAGAGCTCTTCTTTGACTGTCCTTTCTTCTTAGAGGAAGTTCAGAAACACTGAACTCTGGATTATTTTTAATGTTTGAGGTGCAATAAACGACACGGCAGCTTGTTGGCATGATACAACTATTATGTTCCGCCTCGCTCATGAGAGTAACAGCTGGAGAAATTACAGCCTCGCCTACTGATTTTCATTTAACCATATATCGAGACCGATTGTCGATTACCAATGATCGAATGTAATTGTTTGCCTGACTGGCCATCGTAATCGAGCTCTTTGAAGATCCCAAAATCGACGGTTTTCAAAAAAAATTGATCGGATTGGCAAAAACTTCAGAATTTGAATTGACCGCCGTTCAAATGACCGCGTTGTTTTCCCCCAAAAGTGGGCGGGGCCGTTATTTTTGCCCGGAAGTGACGTAGGTGTTACTCTCATCTATACCAGCAATTGAGGGTGGACAAGTTTACTACCACTTTATTTTCAAATAATTGTGTTAATTACTTATTGTAATAAAGCTTTTTAACATTATTTTGTGTCACAATTCATTATTAAGTTGATGTATAACTGTATAGTATCTTAATTATTTAAAATATAAGGTGACTAAAAATGGCAGCCGTATTTTCAGTTTTAGAAACCAAAATCTGATGCCTGGTTGCCTGGCAACCACTTTTAAAAGTTAGCGTTGAACCCTGCACTGGCATCAGTTTTTTGACTGCCAATCACAGGTGTAGGAGGAGACATTTTATGGATGTTGTTGGCATGTCAGTTTACCTTATTTATATTTATAGTGCAATATTATTTTTGAACACTTGGTGGCAGGATTTAGCTGCACCGGGTGCATAAAGGGGGTTACAGGTGACTGGAAGAGCGAGGACACAGGAGGAAGAGCATACCGATCTCACCAGCCCATGAACTGCCCAGCAGATGCTCAAGATACAACAACCATCCAGTCAGTAATTAAACCTTGGTAATGTAAACTCTATATAAACATAATTCTAAACTTCACTCAAGACCGGAAAGCATCTGTTATGTGTCTGCGTCTGGATCACTCATTCTCCTGTGAAGTAATGGCAAAACGAATAATAGGACATTGGAACAACAAAGTTGCCATTACAACGGGAGTATTGTGTATAGAAAGTGTTGAGTAATATTTCTACCAGTATATACAATTCCTGAAGGCAACATGACGGCTGAATCTGAAAAAAAGAATGACTCAAATATCAAAATGAAAATGATAATATATGAAAACAATACTTTGTAAAATGCTAGACTGAATTAAAATGATATTCAACCTGAAAAGGACTTTTCAAATACTTTTCAAAGTTCAGGATCAATGAACTTTCAAATACATCATATTTAGAATGATCAAAACTTTTGGCCCATATTTAGCTCCATAGAGTAACAGCTCTATATATAGGTATCCTTACATAGCAACCCATTTAAGATCTCTTCAATACAATTCTTATTTCTCAAAATGCAGCTGCTTCCCTCAACCATCTGCAATCACATCAGATATATATTCAGACTCCTTTTTTCCCCCATATGACTTCCCCAAGGAAAATGCATTTCTTATTTCTAAACCATCACATTGTCTCTAACCCAACCAGGGCAGTTATCCTTAATCAGCCCTTTTACTAGATATGATCAATCTGTCTTTAATGTAGCACAGTCTTATGAAGTAACTGTAATTACATCTATTTTTTAAATAATTTATTTAATCATCAGTAAATCTGTTTCTGTACTTTCTTGTTAGTTCTTAGTCCTGCATTCAACATCATTGACCATCACGTCCTATAACTGAGAATCGAACAGTTCATTGTTGTTAAAGGAACAATAATAATCCGTGTTTTTTATCTGAGCAACCTCAGTTGGCACATGTAAATGATCAATCCTCAATTATGTTATTCTGATTAATTTATATGCTACCTTTAAGCAATTTCTATAGAAAAAAATACAGTTTCAGTTATGCAGATGATACTTATTATATGTATAGAGTTAACTAAACTTCAAGCCTTTTCTAAAGATATAGTTATTCTGTATGGTATGCCCTGGTCTCCAACACCATGGTCCAGAGTCAGGGAGTTTTGTTAAGAATATGCATTTTTACTATCACATTAACTTTGCAGTCAGACATCCGGTCTCAAAAAGATCAATTCAAAATGACCATGCATTTGTACATGGCCTGGATTAATGCAATTATTTATTATCAGGCCATCCCATTAGTTATCTTAAGACTCGGCAGTTGAACCAGAATGCAACATCTGGGAAAACAGATCATATTTCCTCAATATGTTCTACACTGGCTCCCTGAACAATACATCATGAATTCCAAATCCTTCAGCTCACTCAAAAGTCATGTAATGATCATGGGATGATTTGCAGTTTTGTTTTTTCTAGAATGGAGCTTCAGCAAGTTTAGAAACAATTAGCATTTTTTACAAGTAGGTTCCCATACCTGAATATTTGGATTAAGTTTTATGCAGTTTTTGCTGTTCAGTAACTTTACATGTGGATCCTTACCAGGGACGAGTGAATCCTGCCGGCAGTCGTACAGCATCCCGAGGCTGAATGGCCGGCCGAGTGCCGCCACTTCAATTGTTCTGCTTGCTTGAGGGTCCATCTCTTATTCTTGAATAGAAAACAGAATGTATGTATATTTAAACTGCGAATCATTTGTGTTCTTGTATATTTTGCACGAAAGACAAGTTCTTCTGATGGTAAAAGTATAACAGAATATTTCCTTTTTGGGTAAATGTACCAATGTAAGGGGGTCTAATAAACATCTGATAATCCAATGTCAAACCAAACCAAAAAAGTGTCCTAATCACCTTTTATGGAAAGTGACTTTTAATGACCTTGTCTTTCTCTCCTGTTCCAGTGTTAATTTTGGCAGCTATTTTTGATTTAGTATTAGTCAGACGAAAATGGTTATTAGTTTTAGTCACATTTCAGTCATTTCTATCCTTCATAGTTTTAGTCTAGTTTTAGTCGACGACAACTCAAAACGTTTTAGTCCAGTTTTAGTCTAAATGGTTTCTCTCTTTTAACTAATTCAAATACAGGTATCTGAAAGTGGAATCAATGAGACAGCATCAAGTGTTGAAATTCGTAAAGCAACATTTCACTCTCTTAACACTTTACTTGTGTAATATCTAGGGATGGGTATCGCTAAGGTTTTTAACACAAAAGTCAAAGTCAGCTTTATTGTCAAGAATTCTACATGTGTTATACATCAGAAACATCGAAATATCGTTTCCCGCAGTGTGACATATATACATAAAACAAAAAACAAAAAGGGCCTACTACTACTCTTATCGATACGGTATTGGTATTAATGGTATTCTTATATGTACTTTTTGTTATGTTTTAAAGTGAAAAACTAAACAAATTGTTAACCGGATTAACATTGCTTTATTTAAATGTGAAATAAATCAAATATATAATTATGTTATTATATTGTACTGTACTTGAGTAAAATGTTGAGGTACTTGTACTTTACTGGAGTATTTAAACGTTTTACTACTTAGTACTTCTACTCCACTACAGTTCAGAGGTAAACTGTGTACTTCTACTCCACTCCATGTATTTAATACCTTTAGTTACTTCACAGATCTGGATGAATGATGTGAAATATAATCAAGTGTTGAATCAGACTTTAGTTCCACCTGGAGTAAATCCACCAGCTACCCTGCAGTATACAAAGTCATTCAAACTAGCTGCACCTTCACCAGCTTTGAGAACACTTTCATGATCAATCATTATAAAACATATATATATATTATTCTGAAATGGACCAATCTGCACAACGACTACTTTTACTGTCTTTCACTATATTTTGATGAGAATACTTTTCTACTTTCACTTGAGGAACATTTTGAATGCAGGACTTTTACTGTGACAGAGTATTCCTACACTCTGGTACTTCTCCCACCTCTGCACACCTGATGTGATAACGTTACTCGTAATTGGGGCAACAGAGCTACGAGTTAAGGAAGTCGAAAATTGTGCATTTCTCCGACTGAATATGACGCCTTTTGGCCGGCTGTTTGGACAGACTGCTCTACTCGTGTCAACGCGCTAACGCGAAAACACTAATGGCAAATGAGCTTTGTAGAGTGTCTCTATATTCTCTGAACGCTCTGTCCCCGGCAGATCTCTGTGTGCCGCTGCAGCATGTCTGTTAAGCCCCGCCCCCCGCACACAGAGAGACACCTGGGCCCTGTCTCAGGTCGACTATTTTCATTTCCTCGCTCCTCGGTCCTCGGTCTCACCGGAAGTTGATTTGTCTGCGCCATCTTGAGTACCGTCCCATGGCTCTTATTTCTGCCGGAGGACCGAGGACCGAGGAGCGAGGAGCGATCATGGAGGAGCGATAACCGAGGAACCACCAGACCATCCTTCGATAAAATCCTCAGATACTCGCCCCGCCCCCTTACAGTGTATCGCTCACTGATTGGACGAGGCAGTGCATGCACTGATCTGATGCTTCTTGACATGAGAGCAGAGTGAAGAAAACACATGAACCTCACGGGAGTCACTCCTCAGTTTATACCGTGTTTTGTTTCAATTCATGTTTCATTTAGTTACAAATATGTGAAATATCTGAACAACAAAGTGGTCAAAAATCATTTTATTCATTTATGGAAACATTTTCATGATCGCTTTTTTCGTTTTACATTTTCATTTATTGTCATTCCATTCAGTCAGTCATTAAGTGCTATTGAAATGTTAATGTGCTACATATCCACACAAACTCTAATCAATATTAATCAAACTAATGTTCGTTTATACATTTTAAGAATGACGTTTATCTTTTTTGAGAATGAGTTCTTATTTTATTTTATTTATTGGGGTCTACAACAGATGATACAAACGTTTGTGTCAGTAAATGTGTACTAACAGAGGCGGGGGTGTTTGTGGAAACAACGGGGACAGAGCTGCTAGACTTGTTTGAGACAAGCGAGACCTGCGCAGACCTGCGCAGTTGCGATCAACGTCTTGCTCGTGCGTTGCATGATGGTTAGTCATTTTGTCCGACTTGCTCTGGAGGCTCGCCCACATGAGACGTTGAAATCTCGCGGGACAAAGACGCCCGCAGCCTTGAGAGCGAGGCGCGGCGAGGCGGCGCAGTTCCTCTCCACGGACTGCTGAAGCGAAATGCTTGATGGGAAACGATTCGCTGGTATCTCGAGCTGAGCGCTCATTGGTGGGTTTTTACCCCGTGCTGGTGATGAAGCTCTCCAATTGGCTCGGCAAACGTTTGTTGTTGTTTTGTGTCAGTTTTACGTCGCCACTTCCGTTCCCTTTTTTCATCATTGTTCCACAATGTTTATCATCATGAAATTAATATCTATATATTTTATACTATACTTGCACTGCTTACCGTTTTCATACTTTATATATCTTAGCATATTCATACACACTGTTCATACTGCTCACAGGCTGCTGTGTATATCTAGTGTATTCATACCCTGTTTATTCATCATTCAATATTTTATTCTGTAGATTGTGTACATTACTTTTCACTTTACTGCTTGTCGCACTCCTGGTTAGAAGCTGTTTGATGTTCTCATAAACGAGTCATGTTTGTTATAGAACTTGGTTTAATAACCTTGATAGTAACGGAGCAACATTACATACACCTGGTAGTTATCACCACACTACTCGCATGCCGCATGTAGATCCCTACATCCGGTACGGTGTCTGCAGAAGGACCAAAGAGACCAAATGCGAATACTCTACATCCCCTTTCTTTAGCTCTTCCTACAGTAGTGAACAAAACTGTTATACTGAGCACATATGACAGAACATACAGAATGCTGCAAATGTACACATTATCAAACTATGTGTGCATTTAGTAACTGATGAACACAGAGGCTATCTCAAAGAAGGAGTGCAGCATTTAACTCAGTAATTACTGCAGTAACAAGTAGATTACTAAAATAGAATACATTTGCACTGTGAAACAAAACTTTAGGCCTCAATATGGCATAACTGTGTGAACTAACAGTTTAGAGTCATTGTTCTCAGAGTGGTATGCTTATGCATACATGACAAAGCTTCAGTCTCTGTATTTGGGATTAGGCTTGATAGCACGGCCTGAGCGTGTCCTGTAGACACTCTCAGGAGTGTCTGACAGCAGTTTAGCTGTGGGAACATCAGCCCTCATGTGTTCACTGTTCAGTGATTCTTGTGTGTTACAATCTGTGAACTCAAGTCCTGTGTCCTGATGATCAGTGTCACTTGTGGAGGTATGTGACGGGACAGGCTCAGCTACAGGCAGAATGTGCCTACGATTCCTTCTGTACAGCTTTCCGTCTGAGTGGACGACGTATGACCGGGGTTCCTTGCAAATCTCTTGAATCATTCCAGTCCTGTTGTAACCTTGTGGGGTCTGCATCCTAACAACCCATCAAAGGTTGTAGTGGTCGGCTTGACTTATCATAGCACTGTTTTTGATGCAGCCTCTTGTTTAGAAGCTGGGCTTTTACCTCTTGTGGATGGCGCATGTCTGGCTCAAGCAGCTTCACCGAGACTGGGAGTGTTGTACGTGTTTGTCTCGACATCAGTCTCTGTGCAGGAGATCCTAATTTTGCGTCACGTGGTACATTCCTGATGTTTAATAGGTTGAGAAAAACATCAGTTCCATCTCTATGAGATTTCTCCATGAGCTGCTTAGCACTGCGCACAGCCCGTTCAGCTAGCCCGTTGGACTGGGGATACTCAGGGCTGCTGGTAATATGAGTGAAGTCCCACTGTGAAGCAAAGTCTTTAAAGCGCTGGCTAGTAAACTGCCTCCCATTGTCTGACATGAGGGTGTGAGGTGCTCCATGAACTGAGAAATGTCTTTTCAGCTTTGCAATGACTGTTGCTGCAGTGATATCACGAAGCATGTCTATCTCATACCAGCCTGAATATGAGTCCACTAGCACTAAGTATTGCTGATTGTGCCACTCAAAGATGTCAGTTGCTACAGTTGACCACGACAGGTCTGGAACTGGATGCAGATGGAGTGGTTCTTTCTGCTGGTGTGGTTTTGTGCTGTTGCACACTGAGCATGACTGTATTTCTGTGTGAATGTTGTCTGTCATAGTTGGCCAGAAAACAATGCCACGTGCTTTGTAGCTTCTTCACCAGGATGTCCTCTGTGCATGATGCTGATGTATTCTTTCTGTAGTGACAGAGGAAGAACTGCTTTGTGACCCTTCATTATGACTCCATTTTCAACAATCAGTTCGTCTCTGAAAGGAAAATACGGTCTAATGGCATGTGGAAGATTATGCTGTTTAGCGGGCCACCCGTGTCTGATAGTGGTGCTGAGTGTTTGCAGAGTCATGTCTTCAGCGGTGTGCCTCTCTGACTCTTCTAAGCGAGAAGAAGATATGTAGTTAACAGTCATCACGTCGAAGTTGTCCTCTTCTTCAGCTTGCTGAACTGTGGAGCTGCGGGGAGCTCGCGACAAAGTGTCAGCCAGGAACATTTGCTTTCCACATTTGTACACAAGAGTGATGTCGTACTTCTGTAGTCGTAGCATCATTCTTTGTGGTCTTGCAGGTGCTGTGTGTATGGGCTTTTTTAGTATGGTGACGAGGGGCTGGTGGTCTGTTTCAATAGTGACTGGTTTACCATAGATATAGTCATTGAATTTTGAACATGCAAAGACCACTACCAACAACTCTTTTTCGATTTGAGCATATCTGGTTTCTGTTTCAGTTAGTGTACGCGAAGCATACGCTACAGGTTCTCCTTCCTGCAAACACACTGCACCGAGTCCGTACTGTGAAGCATCACAGGTAAGTGTCACTGGCTTGTCAACGTCGTAGTATAGCAACACCGGTGGGCAAGACATGCGTTTCTTTAAATCTTCAAAAGCTTTCTGCTGCTGTTCGTGCCATGTCCATTCTGTGTCTTTATGTGTGAGCTGCCGTAGTGGAGCTGATAGCTGGCTGAAGTTTGGTATGAACTTTCCAAGGTAGTTGACCATCCCCAGAAATCTGGCTGGGACGTCTGCTGGCACTGGCATCTCACTAATAGCACTTGTTTTGGAAGGATCTGTTTTGAGTCCTTCACTGGTGAAAACATGGCCGACATAGCCGACTTGGCTTAGCCTAAACTTGCACTTGAGGGGGTTAAGCCTTAAGTTTACCTCCCTGACCCTGTTAAGCACTTTTCTCAGGTTGGCGTCGTGCTCTGCAACATCTTTACCTGCAATAATGATATCATCAACGATTATTTCACAGGGGTATCCGTCGAAAATCTGTTCCATAGAGCGCTGGAACACCTCGCTGGCAGAATTGATTCCAAATGGCATTCTTAGAAATCTGTAACGACCAAAAGGGGAGCTGAAAGTGGTTAACATGGAAGACTTATGGTCGAGTGGAATCTGCCAAAAAGATCTCTTTGCATCTAATACAGAAAACATAGTTGCTTTTGACATGTGTGTGGCGACTTCTTCCACAGTACGCATAGGATGGTGTGGTCTTTTCAGAGCAGTGTTCAAGTCTCTTGGATTAATGCATATCCTGATTTCTTGTTTGTCCTTTTTGCTAGTGGCTACCATAGAGGACACCCAATCAGTGGGCTCTGAGACAGGAATGATGACGCCCAGTTCCTGCATCTTGTCGAGTTCAGCTTTGACTCTGTCTTTCATAGCCACAGGTATGCGATGTGCAGGCCGAACGACTGGTTTTACATCTGGGTCGAGAGTCATGGAGTACGTCACAAGTAGCTTTCCAAGCTCATCAGAGAAGAGATCGCTGTATTCTGTTTGGATCTCAACTGAAAAATCATCGTCAGTGGGGCTTAATTGATGAACTGCTTCACTGAATGAAACTAGTCCCATCCGTCTGCACGCTCGTAGCCCAAGCAGTGGCAGGACATCCTCTTCTACAATGTAGAATGGCAGTGTGTGGACTTTTCCCACTAGGTGGCACTGCAGTCTGACTACGCCCGCAGTTTTGATTTTGCTACCACCATATGCAACAAGATTAGTGGATTTAAAACACGTCTGTATTTTTTCATCTCCTTTTATCACATTGAATGACATTTTTGACATAACATTGCACTTCGCACCAGTGTCTACTTTCATCTCGACTACATTGTCATTGATTTGCACTGTGACAAAAGCCTCATCATTTTTATCTATCTGTGCATCAGTTGCGTCAACACTTACTTGCAGTGTTACGCCATCAACATAGAATGTTTCATCTGTAGTTCAGCTTGATCAGGTTCTAGTTGATGAACTATCCTCCTGGGCCCTTGCTTGTTATATGCTTGTTGTATG